ATCTCTGTTTCTCTGTATCTATCTATCTATCTATCTATCTATCTATCTATCTATCTATCTGCCAGTTCCAAAGAGATGTGACCCAGTGGAATGTGGAATCCATCAACCATCTATCTGACAATATCATTAATGGCCCATGCAAGCAAAATCTTACTAAAGATAATTTTAAAATAGCTACAACCATATATTTTCAGATAATTTACAGAGGTACAAGCAGATTCAGAAGAAGATGTCAAATGGATCTTGGCTGAGATAAGAGAATACCAGAAAGATGTTTACCTTTGCTTTACTGACTATGCAAAGGCTTTTGATTATCTGGATCATGACAAACCATGAACAATATTGTAAAGAATGTATATTCTGGAACACCTAATTGTGCTCATGAGGAACCTGTGCATAAACCAAGAGGCAGTTGTTTGACCGGAACAAAAGAACTTTGAACGGTTTAAGATTACGAAAGTTGTGCACCAGGGTTCTATTCTTTCACCATATTATATAGTCTGTATGCTGATCAAATGATCTAAGAAACTGTACTAAATGAACAAAAACATGGCATCAGGAAAGGAGGAAGACTCATTAACAAACTGAGATATGCCGATGATGCAACCTTGCTTGCTGAAAGCCAAAAGAATGTATTTTACATACTGATAAAGATAAAAAAAAAACACCCACAGATTTTGATATGAGTTGCACTTCAATATAAAGGAAACAAAAGTCCTTACCATAGGACCAATAAATAGCATGGAGAAAAAATTGAAGTGGCAAAGATTTCATTTTGCTCAGATGTACCATCAACACTCAAGGAAGCAGCAGTCAAGAAATCAGATTATTACATTAAGCAAATCTGCTGCGTAAGACAAGACCTCTTTAAAATATACAAGAACAAAAATGTCAATTTGAGAATTAAGTTTGCTTGATTAAAGTCATGATATTTTCAATCAGCTCATATGCATGCAAAAGTTGGACAGTGAATAAGAAAACCATGGAAGAATTGATTCATTTGAGCTATGATTTTGGAGGAGAATATAAAAAGTACCATGAACTGCCCAAAAAACAAATCAATCTGCTGGAAGAAGTACAACCAAATGCTCCCTGTAACTCAACATTCATGGAAGTAGCAGTCAAGAAATCAAACTACATATTGTATTAGGCAAATCTGCTCAATCCCTTCATCAATATGTGTTTTCAGTCCTCTTCACTTTCGGCAAACAAGGTTGTATCATTTCATATAGCAGGTTGTTAACGAGCCTTCCTCCAATCCTGATGTCACGTTTCTCTTCATGTAATTAAGCTCTCTGATTGTTTGTTCAGCATTTTGTTGTTGTTGTTAGGTACCAAGTCGGTACCAACCCATAGCGGCCTTATGCACAGCAGAACAAAACACTGCCCGATCCTGGGCCAACCTCACTACTGTTGCCACGCTTGAGTCCATCGATGCTGCCACTTGGCCAATCTATCTTGTTGGGGTCTTCCTCTTTTTCTCTGACCCTCCATCCACCTTACCAAACATGATATCTTTCTCCAGTGACTGGTCCCTCCTGATAATTTGTCCAAATTATGAGAGACAAAGTTTGGCCATTTTGGCCTCCAAGGAGCACTCTGGCTGCACCTTTTCCAAAACCTATCTACTGGTTTGAATAAATATGGTGGATTGTATTTTCATGTGTGGTTAGGGAAAATATATACAAGAGAACTTAAAATATTTCCCGGACAAATGCCATTACTTTTCTATTTAATTTTTCCAAGATCGTTTTGCAGCCTCATTATATTTACTGTTTTTCAATTAAATAATCTTTTATTAAAGTATTTTAATCCCTGTTTTACATCTTTGCTCCATAGAGAATATATCAGGGTGTTGAGCATGGGGATTTCAAGTGCATAAAGCAATGAAGCCTTGATTTTTCCATCTAGACACTGAGCAGAACTTGGGTGGAAATACATGAAGAATGGTGGTGGTCGTGCGGGTGGTGGTGTTCTGTGGAGTTGTTTACAACTCATAGTGACCCCACGTAGGGTTTCCGAGGTTGTAAATCTTTATGGGAGCAGAAAACCTCATCTTTCTCCCACAGGACAGTTGGTAGTTTCAAACTGCTGACCTTGAGGATAGCAGTCCAACTCGTAAACACTATGCTACCAGAACCCTGGAAAACTCCAACAGCTGTCAGTGGTAGTTGCATGTAGAGAAAACTTTTTACCTCTGCTCAGCAGAAACCCAGTGAAACTCAAATGGATCTTCTACTTAATCATTTTCAACACTTGCCTATTTTTTTTCTTCCATTTCTGAAACACTCTTGTTCTCTTACTGATTTAGAAATGATATTACTCTTCAGCGATAACTTTTTCTTTTTTTTCACACTATAAAATTAACCCCCTTAAATTGTATAATTCAGCGATTTTAACACATTCACATTTGCATATTTACTTGCATTACAACTATACAAGTGCACAAAAATTTGTAACATCCCCCCTCCCCAAATCCCATGCCTGTTAGCATTGTCCCTTCCCCACTCCCCACAAATGCTGAAAACCACTAATCTAACATTCTGAATCTATTTACTTGTCCATTTTATTTCATAAAAATAAAATCTTATAATATGCATGTACCTTTTTGTATTGACCTTCTTTCTCTTAGCATGCTATTTTCAATCTTCATTTCCATTAATTTTCATAGATGAATAGTATTCCATTGTATACCATATTTTATTTATCCACTCATCACTTGATGGACACTTGGATTGTTGATATTTCTTATTATGAAAAATGATATTGCAAATATTCATGTAAACCCTAATTTTAAATGCTGCTTTCTCGACCAAGGAGTCTGTAAGTGGTGCCAATGATTAACCTGTTCTGCTGCTAATAGAAAGGCTGAAGTTCACCCAGGTGTCTTGGAAGAAAGTCCTGGCAATCTACTTCCAGAGAGTTCAGAGCCGACGAAACCCTAGTTCAACTCTACTCTGAAACTTGTGGTTGCCATGAATTATAATTGACTTGATAGCAACTGACTTGTATTTTGGTTTTGGTAGAATAAATAGTGTAAGCCCCATGGGAAGATTAACAGATAAGTGCGGACTTCATATTCTGAGTGAAAGTTTCATTTACATAAGAGCCTCCACAGGAAGAAACTGAAAAATTACTGATACCCTCTATTTTAAGTCAATCCCTTCACCGAAAGTTTTTATATTCTCCCATAAGAGATATAATCATTGGTGGTGTAATTCTTGAGTATTAAAAGACAGTGGAGTAACAAAAATGAGATTTAAAAAATTGTTTTATTGTGAATTGTGTGAAGGTTTACAGACAAAATTATCAGCTTTACATTCAACAAATTATACACTTTGTTTCATTTCAATGATGCCAACCCCCTCCCTGCAACAATAGTTATCCTATTTCCTGCTTGTGGTTTCCCTTTTACATCTTATATTTCACAAATGAGAAAAGCAAAAATATTTGATGTACATACACACACACAAAAATATGTATTTGTTTAAATGTTCAAAGGATACATTCTGCAATCCAGTCTCCTTCCCACAGACACATAACATACTCAGTTCTATATGCAGCTTGATGCTTTTCTATATAAAAGTTATAATAAGTAGATGTTTGCATATGTACATAATTTAGAGCAATGAAAACTATGTTGAGGTATACTACATCGAATCCTGCTCTAAGTGACTGTCATGATCCTCCAAAACCTTGGCTAAGTAACTCTGAAACTTATTCTAATATTAAAGAATGTGTGCTTTATATCTCTGTGACTATGCTCTCTCCCAAATTAATCAACGGATGTTCTTAGTCAGAAATCAAATGAAAAACCTCTTAAGAAAGCTGATAATTGTCATAAATCATTAATTGATAACTGAATTTGGCTGTTTCTTACAGACTTTTATAATAAGAATGCATGGATTTAAATATGCTTTCAAATGTTTATTTTTCCAGGGTACTTCTTGTAAACATTTATTATTATGCAGTGATAATTTTATAGAGAAAAAATCGGTTACTGAATATGATTTTCAATTAGCACATCTTCCAATTTCCATCTTTAAATGCATGTTTTCAGACTCTTCTTCAACTATGGAATGCTGGTTGACTCCCCACGCCCACATCAGGATGCAGATAAGGCCATGTGGACATTTGATAGCTTATTCTGCTAATGAGATGCTAGAGGAGGTTGTCTACATTTTCATTAATACTATAGTATATGAAAATACTAAGAGATAGAGGGAAAACCAAATGCTTTGTCTTGTAACTACCCAATTTTCCTCAACTGCCACTTAGAAAATGTTCCTAAATTCCTTTGGAGTACATAGGGCATGGAAAGTTATCTGCACGATACTGAACTTCAATTCAATAAATTTGGTGTTCCATTTTTTTATTATTGTTTTCCTAATATTATTGTCTCTTCCCACCTCATTGCATAATATGCTTTTATTAAAGTGGGTATTTTATATAAACAGAAATAATAATTAACATCTAATGAGTGCATAAAATATTTCAGGCAGTAATCTTAGAATTTAACTGTAGTAACTCATCTAATCACTCAACAGTCAATGATAAATTCACTATATTCTCCTCATTTCACATATAAACAAATTAAGGCATACCAAAACCAAATAGCTTACTCAAGGTGCTATTTACTAGTCTCAGAGCTGATGTATGAACCACAGCAATTTGGTGCCTTCTTCATCCAGTAATCTACTCCTGTGTATGAGATACGCATAGACACACACATATACACAATGTTCAAAAGTATTTACTGTGTTTCCACAGTCTGATGCAAACCATTTTAACATAAACCCCACGCTAGAAGCCATAACACTTTTCAATGTAATCTTATGTGTAGAGATTATAAAATGCATTTACTTGTATATAAAAGAAAACTAATTTGACTGTTTGATAAAATCCCTTGTGAGAAAAATCGTGTGTGTGCTGATAAAATGATTGCAGTTTCTCAATTAAAGATTGCAACTAGAGAGTTTAAGTCCCTGGAGCTTTATCTCTCATGAGGAATCTGCCTTTGATCTTAATACTTTCTTTGCTGCATCTTTTACATCTTTGTTTCTCAAACTATAAATCAATGGATTAAGCACTGGGATGACAATGGTGTAGAACACGGAGATGATTTTATCAGTGTTGGGAGAATACAGGGAGCTAGGCCGTGAGTAAATAAAGAGCAGAGTCCCCTGGTAGATGGCGACTGAAGTGAGGTGAGAGGCACAGGTGGAGAAGGTTTTCTTCCTCCCAGTGGAAGAGCGAATCCTTAATACCGAGAGAAGAATAAAATAGTAAGAGATAATGATGATGATGAAGCAGATGATTTCCACAGAGCTTCCGTATGTGGAGAGGAGCCACTCATTAACTGAGGTGTCTGTACAGGAGAGCTTGAGCAGAGGAGGGAGGTCACAGAAAAAGTGATTAATCACATTTTGGTCACAGTATTTCAGAATAAAGGCAAAGGATGTGTGAACCAGGGAACTCATGTTGCCACCAATGTACGACAAGACGATGAGCCATACACAGATGCCCCGGGACATCACAACTGTATACAACAAAGGGTTACAGATAGCAACATAGCGATCATATGCCATAGCAGCCAAGATAAACGACTCTGTATCCGCAAAAGTGCAGAAAAAATAGAACTGCAGAGCACACCCATAGTAAGAAATAGATTTATTCTCTGCCAGGAAATTGATCAGCATTTTGGGAACAATGACTGAGGAATAGCAAAGATCTACAAAGGATAGATTGCTAAGAAAAAAATACATGGGTGTCTGAAGAAGGGGATCTATCCTGATTAAAGTCATCAAGCCAATGTTCCCCATTAGAATCATTCCATACAACATCAGAAACACAAGGAATAGGATGATCTGCAGCTCAGGGCGAGTTGGAAATCCCAGTAGAATAAATTCAGTCACCAAGCTGTAGTTTCCTTCTATCAGTTCCATATTTTATGTGTTCTATGTGTGTGTTTTTTTCTCCTCTTTTGAGAATCCTAATTTCCTAAAATATTTTAATAATGAAAATGGAATATGATTAGATATAACTATAGGGTTATAATAAACAAGCAAGCAATCAAAGAAAGAAAAATAATATAAAAATCAAAGTCCTTTTCAAATCTAAAAACTGAGAGATATATTCCAGAATTCAGTAGCTATTAAATTTCATAGTGGCAAATTTAATTGTATTTGTTTGATTAAAGACTACTTCTTTCATTAGACAGTTGACACCATGTCTGCATAGAACATGTCTGAGTTTGCTTGCATGTTTGTACCCCAAATGCAACAAAATAGGTGACATAGAAGATTAAATAAATTAATGAATGGAGTGAGAATGATGTAAAAGAAAGTAGAAATAGCAATATTTATTAAACAGGACTTATAGAATGTACATTACAATGAGGGCATTTTCTTTTTCCATCAAAAACTTATAGACACTAGCATCCAACATCTCATTACAGAACTGATGATGTAGTATAATTAAACATTCACAAACTAAATTTTTACTAATATAGAATTAGTTAAAAATAATATTAGCAAATAAAACAAATATCACTAAACATCAGCTGTGAGTACATTTTTGAAAAACCTAAGGATACTTCTATAAATCATAACAAGATATTAACCAAGTTGATTAAATTGACTGAATATTGATGTATTTATCACAATGCCTGGCTTTCAGTTAACACTTCATATTAGTCGATTAAAGGAGTAAAATAGATAAACACACACACACACACACACACACACAAATCTGCTATGAATTAATTTAGGATTAAATAAAATTATTCCATGGAACTTCCTCAATAAAAAATAATTATGCAAGGCTACTTTTTATGTGCATTTAATTAAGCGTGCTTATTTTGAGAATTCTACAATCTCTGTTTCTATAGGTTCATATTACGTCTATGAGTAGAAAGGAGTTAAACCTGACCTTGAGCTACAAGAAATCAAAAGCAAACCTTGAAGATATACTTGAAGAAAAAAAAGGAAAAAAAAAAATAAAAAAAAAAAAATATATATATATAGAGAGAGAGAGAGAGAGAAAGAGAGAGAGAGAGAGATAAAGGATCCAGTGAGCTATGTTAATGTTACCACAATATTCTAAGGAGGAAGTTAAAAATGTTTTGGGTTACTCTTCCATTACATATATGAAAACTATATCAGTGTCAGAGCAAAGATCTTATTTTCATTTGATCATCAGAATGATCCTAAGACCTATGCTCAGAGAATCTGTTGAGAATAATAAAAGTTAGCACTTGTTCCCTCTCTCAGAGAATGAGAACAAAATGCAGCATTACAGCAGGACAGCTGTTCATATACTGTTATTTTTCCTACTCGTAAAGGAATTAGGGCATTTAGAAAAAATAAAGCCTTTGCATTAGCTCTAGAATTTGATTTCATTCTATCTTGATAGAATACATGAGGGCTGTGTGACCTGGAACAATCTAATGTAAATGTTCTTATTGATACGAAAGACAATGGATATCTTACAGGGTTGCTATGTAAATTAATTAAATAAAATCATCTCCCTTTCTAACATTTATCCATCCATTTATATGCTTACCTACCTATATGTGTATTTCTCCTTCCATTAGATGTATTTTAGGAGACTGACACATAACAGGCAAGCAGTGAAAATTTGTCTTAATGTCCACAGTGTTCCTGGTGTGGTGTTCTGGGTTAATGTGCTGGACTGCAAAGTCAGTTTGAATCATAAGGTTGGTGGTTCAAACTCACCAGTTGCTCCTTGGAAACCCTATATGGGTTGAAACTGACTCAGTTGCACTTAACAACAACAAGTGTCTAGTTTCTAGTTAATGCCTAAGGTTTTATTAATAATGGTAAACATTTATATAGTAATCGTTGTCTTTAAGGTAATATTCTAAATATATTATATATATACTATTTAATTTTTACAACAAAAGTAACAAATATTTGATCTTCAAGCCATTATTATCATTTTTCTTATACATAAAGAAACTAAGGCACTTTGGATATGAAAATAGGATGTATTTGAAGATCTTGATTCCAAGGGCTATGAAATATAGGCTTTTTAGGAGGCAGAATGCCATTATTGATATTTTATTTCAGATGAGTCAATTGAGGTGAAGTATAATATTATAAGTAAATGTAGTTGGTAGCAGTAACAGTTGTGTGCCATCAAGTCGATTCCAACTCCTAGCAATCCTGTATAGGGTTTTTGAAGTTATAAATCTTTAGAGGAACAGAAAACTTTCATTTACTGGCTGGTAGATTCAAACTGCTGAACTTGTGGTTAGTAGCCCAACTTTCAAAGTCAAGATCTCTGAAAGTAACTTTGAGAATGATTAGAATATAAATACTGTGGTCAGTGTAAAACAGTCAGGTGCTCCGCAGGAGAAAGATGAGGCTTTCTACTCCCGTAAAGATTTATACCCTCGGAAACTCTTTACAGGGTTGCTATGGGTCAGAACCGACTCGACAGCACTTAACAACAACAGCAACAAGGTGTACACAGAAGCTGAAGGAAAGAATAAATGGTTCAAATATTTACTGAACAGGGGAACTTCATACTGATCTTATCTTCTGAGACACCAAGGTAGGCAGAAAGAAAAGAGGCATAAGGGTAGGGGCAAGAAAAAACTGCAATCCTGGGATTATTGCTTTAAACAGTAATCAACAAAAAGATTCAATAAAAAAGCTGTGAATAACTAAGTATATAACAGTGTGATCTTAGGATAGAAAATAAAATTATAACGAATTAAGATTATCATGCTTATGACAGAAAAAATATTATCTGTATTAAAAAAAACACAATTTAACAAGTGATATTTAAGATTAACAGAGTAACTGTATTAGAAATGTTGATGTCAGATGGATTATCTTCTAGGTGTAGTACTGACTGATAAAGTTGCTTTACCACCTGTTTGGATATAAATAATAATTCTTTCTCTTAGAGCACAAGACCAAATTTATTAACCATTAAAACCAATCTCATATTCACAGAAACTGCTTACCAAGGAAAAGGACTGTTTTCCAAATACCTAAATGAATACTTACTTCAACAGATCTGAGAGCTTTTACGTAAATTCTCATGGCACTAGGGACCTAATAATTGAAGGATTCTGAGCATGCTTATTTTAAAAGAGACAACTAGGGAACAATTAATAGGATTATTGACACTGTGTTTTTCTGTTTAAAAAATAAGTTGGATAATTTAAAGAGATACTTTTAGCATTGATTTAAATAAGTAATGTTATTTCTTATTAATATTTGGGTTGTTTTTAATGATACTTAGAATTCTACAAAAGATCCCCTTTAGGAGTTTCTTTGAAAATAATTCAAATATTTAAAAATGTAATAATTGCCTTTTAAACCTGACAAGCAAAAACTTTAAAATAACTTCAGCATTATCTTAAATGAAATGATTAAAAGTTGTATATTTATAAAACGGTTGAGCATTTTGTACATTCACTTGAAATTAGAGTTCATAGAAAATAATCAAATGGACAATGTAAAATAGAAAAAAATGTATACTTAGATTTTAATATTAGATTAAATATTAGGTATCAGTCTATACTAAGGATTTGGGCTTGTTGTTTGCAACTTATGTGATACAGAAAATCATCATAAAAAACATAAGCTGCTGTCACCAAATATCTAGAATATTCATTTTGAATCTTTGAAAATCAGATTCTCAATCATGACTATTTTGCTTTGAAGCTGCTTAGATGAATGATTTCAAGATGCTTTACTTTTATGACAGCACCAACAAGCCTTTTCAAATCTTGAAAACGTTCCTAATTTTTCAGTGTTGTTGGAGATCTTTGGTGAGTTCCAAATCTCATTACTCAAGATAGTGTTCTGTTTCTTATCCTGTAAATATCTTTTTTCGGATTTGCTCATTTTCTTTTAAGCCACTGTTCTGTTTCTTTGATAGGTTGATATCACACTTCTCTTTACACAAGTTGCTATGCTTTACAAATTCAAATAAACCATGATAAAACAAAAAATCCTGACTTCTGTATTTCTCTACTCTTGATGTCACGATACTAATGATTTGGATTAGTTTTGTGGCCCATTAATCAAAACAAAATTGGATTAATATTGAACTCATATTTTTGACAAGTACCAAACTAACAAAGGTAATTTTCCAATAAGTAAATAAAAGAGAAACTGTAAAAGCAAATGAAAAATGCCATTTCTAGAAACTGGCAGGTGATTTACTCAACTTTTCTTCAGCTTCATCCTGAACTTGTATATGAGGAATTGATGGTCTGTTCCACAACCTGCCCTGAGTCTGGTTTTGACTGGTAATATGGAACTTTGCTACGGATAGAGTCAATTTGATTTCTTTGTATACCATCTGTTGAGGTCCATGTGTATAGTCATATTTTATGTTATTTAAAAAAGGTATTCACAAGGAATGAGTTATTGGTCATGCAAAATTCTGTCATGTGATCTCACATTCTTTCTATCCTCAAGGTCGTATTTTCCAACTACTGATCCTTACTGTTTCCAACCTTTGTGTTCCAATCACCAAAAATTATCAATACATCTTGATTGCATATTTGATCAATTTTAGACTGAAGAAGTTGATAGGATTCTTCAATTTCATCATCACTGGCTTTATTGGTTCATGCATTCATTTGAATAGTAATAATAGACTAAGTTTCAGAGTTACTCAGCCAAGATTATAGAGGATCATGACAGTCACTTAGAGCAGGATTGGATGCAGTACACCTCAACATAGCTTTTCATTGCCATACAGTATTTACATATTAACTGGTCTTCCTTTAGGCATATGGATATTATTCTATCACAGACAGCACTGCACTTCATCGCACATTCAATTTTATGATGATGAAACAGCTTTATGTTCATACAAAACAGTTTTGAGTTTAAAAATATATAGATTATAAAATATAGAACTCATATAAAGACATAAGTCAAAAGACGTAAGAGAT